CGAAAAAAACACATTTTTTTTGACGAACTTTTCAAAGAAAAAAAATGGCGTTTAAAACATTTTCCAAAAATTCACCGATTTTTTGAAAAATTCGGTGATTAGTCGCCAAATTGCTAACTATGGTGTGAAGTTGTGAAGTCTAATCTTTGTGAAGCTTCTTAGATAATTATGAAACATGATCTTTATATTTGAGAACATCCAGACATGTTATCAAGTAAGTATTTTATAACTTTCAGATCATTATATCGACTTGATGAGAGATATGTAAAATGGAGTGCTAACTAGTGTATGAATAACTAGTTGAGAGACAAGTGAGTTTTCAATGACAATATGTCTATTTCATGGGTCAGCATTAAGGCCGTACCTATTTGCCTTAGTTATGGAAGACTTAACTAGGCACCTACAGGATGAGATATTGTGATGCATGCTGTTCGCAGATGATATAGTTTTGATTGATGAGACCCAAAATTGCATCAACATAAAGTTAGAACTTTGGAGGGATGCTCTAGAATCCAAAGGTTTTTAAATTAGTTGGACTAAGACAAAGTATATGGAGTGTAAGTTTAGTAATAATAAGTGTAAAGACGAGGAAATAGTTAAGATTGACGGTCAGGAAGTATAAAAAATGCTGCACTTTCGATATCTTAGGTCGATAATCCAAGAAATTGGAGAGATCGAGGAAGATGTCACTTATAGAATTAGAGCTAGGTGAATGAAGTGAGATATGCAAATGGAGTTTTATGTGATCGTCGCATATCAATGAGGCTGAATGACAAGTTCTATAAGACAATAGTGATACCAGTTTTGCTCTATGGGGTGGAATGTTGGGCGGACAAAAACAGTATATCCACAAAATGAATATAGCAGAGATGGGGATGTTGAGATGGATGACTGACAATACAATAAGGGATAAAATATTGAATGAATCTATTCGAGAAAATTTTGGTGCGGCACCAATAGGCGATAAAATGAGATAAAGTAGACTTAGGTGGGCTAGCCATGTATGGCGCCGACTAAGTACAACACTTATTAGGTTGTATGAGTTAGTTCAAGTGGAATGACTAAAATGGGCAAAGGGTACGCCCAAAAAGACATGGTTAGAAGTAGTTCTAAAACATATAGGGACTTACTCGCTCACTGAGGATATAGTTTTTAATAAAGCAAAATGGAGAACCATGATTCACAACCCCAATTAATTTGAAAAAAGCTAAAATAATGATGATGATGATGATGATGATTTCAGAACTTTCAGATATCAACATTTATAGCTCTGGGGACATAGAACCTCTAGGTTCTAAGGAACTCTTAGCTTCTAGTTACCAAATATACCTTTAGATAAAATGGAATTAGAGAAAGAAAGGCGGTGATTAGAGAGAGGACTTAGAGAGACAACACAACTAAAGAAAGAAATGAGTAAAAAAGAGAAAATGCACTATTGAAGCGAGGAGTTAGAGATAGAAGAGCATGGATAGAGAGAGAAAAGAGTGAGAAATGGTAAGAGAGAGGGAGATAATACATAGTTAGAGAGTGAAGGAGCATTAATAGAGAGTTAGAGAGAGAAATGGCATGGTTAGGAGGAGTTAGAAAATATATTAGAGAGATAAATGACAGATAGAGAGAGGAGTTAATGAAGATATTAGAGAGAAAAATGACAATTAGAGAGAGGATTTGGAGAGAGAGAGGGAGTGGTAAAAGAGAGGATTCAAAAAGATAAAGGGCATAGTTACAAAGATAATTAGAAAGTTAACGATAGAGAGAGTGGGGGAAGGACATATGTAGGGTGGAAAAAGGGTTGGATTTACCCATGGACCCTACCGGTCCAAGTTATTTTAAAGAAAAATAGCACACAAATTCCTAAGTCCGTCTATTTTGGGTTGGCTAAGTCTAAATGTTAATGAACACAAAATCAAAATTTCCTGAAGTGTTATTAATAGGTCAAATTTAAAGTGATGAGCATATATTACATTGTTCAGTTGGGCAAAATACACATTTCATATGATTTTTTTATTTTCTTGATCTGAAATTTTGGGATCCATTTTAGAATCACTAAATGAGTAATTCAAAAAGAGAAAGTTTGAGTTCTTATAAACGTAGCTTTGACTTTTCAAGAAATACAATCGGTGTTAAATCTTGGGATGTGATGATTTGTAGAATTCTAATTCTAACTATTTTTTTGGAGAATGCTAGATTGACGTGGGCACTTTTGTTAAAGAGAGTGTATATTGTCTACGGGGTTACTGCAAAAAGTGTATATATAATGAATATGTATAGAAAGGGTATATACAATATCTTGTATTTGTTGGTAAGTGTTCATATAGTATGGTTTTTCATGATTTATTTACATTCCTACCATTCCTTGGATGCATATACAAAGAGGTTGTATATTTCATAAATAATGATCAATATACAAAGAATTCTCTTTAGAGAAGCTTAAGACACTATCATGGTATCAGAGGTGTAGATCATTACCGCCTTGTTTCTATACGCCCGAGTTTGCAATTGCTTGATCATGTTTGTTCTTGTCTATTAGTTGTTCCCCGATCAACTATCTTGTAGTTGCTGTATTGATCTCCAATTTTACTGATCTGAGCTCTGATGGGCCCTACGCAAAACCACCTCTAGGCTTGGGGTCGTTTCGTTATTATTCTAGGCTAATAGTTGATGATCTAAAGCAATATTGAATAGGGAAAAAGGTAGGTTTACAAACAAGTAGGTTGCCCATATGTGGGCTTTATTTACATGTATTTTCTGTTGGTACGTGTGGGTGGCCATGAGGCCTCATATATGTCATATTTCTCTCTCTTAATCTAATTAATATTTATCTTAATTAATACAATATAGTGCTTATCTCTAAAGTTTTTTAGAGAGAGAATATGTTTTTATTCAACGAGTATTAGATAATTACCCATCTCTTAGGAAAAGATGGCGACCTTCTTAAAAATTTCAAAAAGAAAGCCAAATGTTGGAAAACGGACCTTCTCCCATCCATCTTTAAGTAGGATTTTATAGTTATAGAGAGGCACACAGAGAAAAATACATAGTTCTCAATAGTTATGGAAAGTCATGCTCTCTAGAATTTATAGTCTAATGACATTGGTCCGAGCCCATATCCACAAAGTATTTATTGTTAGAAGTAGCAAGCTGTCGATCATTCAACCAATCTCTTGAGAGAGAAACAGTGTGGCACATCTCATCAGCAATGATTGAAAAGAAAGGCTTCGATATGTCCAACATTCAATGGTGTTATTGCAGAAAATTTGGACACATAAAATTCAATTGCCATGCAAAACAAAAAAAAGAAGTCTTTTGTTTAGAAGCCCACTTTGTTGTTTTTTTTTAGGGTGAGTTAGAGGGAAGAGGTCCCCTACCTTTGGTAGGAATTGAGCCTATGATGTAGAGTTGCAAATTGTCAAACATTAACCAATTAAACTCGGGCTCTTTTCCCATAAGCCCACTTCAGCTAGCTTTGTGCAACTCATCTCATTATTGAAAATGTTTAGGATGTTATCAGACAAGTTATCTTTGGTGTTGGTAATATTTTTGTTGCAACTTTTGCTGTATCAGGAACAACATGAACATATCGCTTCATTGATTCTGGAGCTTTCTACCGCATGACATTTGATTGTAATATCTTAAGTTCTTCTATTTTTCTCTTACCACGCATTTTATAACGTATATGTTCACAATTAAAATTTTTAAGAAAATAACCTTATATGTTATTATTATTTTTTTAAAAAATACCTAAATATATGTTTTTTATTGTATTTTTATTATGAAAAATGGAATTATATAAATAAACCATTTACTTTTAATACAAAGAGGTCACAATCACTATTGTTCGTTAGATTTTTAAATCGAGTAGATGTAAATATGTAATTTACTAGACTCAAAGTTCATGAAGAAAAATCCTTGAACCTTGTATCACACCTCATCCAATTTGATATCTAAAGTTTAGGAGTGATTCTAATATGCAATCCCATGAAAAATACATCCAAATACTTCCCTTTCCCATAGCCAAAATGCTGCCTTTTCCCAGCCAAGACGAGGAGACTCTAAAGCAAATATGATAGCATTGCCTAGGAGTGTCTTAAAGCTCACATATTGGAAATATAATGCACCCTTAAACTACCTTAAAATGCTGCCTAAGATGAGATTGGGCTACCTGGCTTCTGTACATGCTCAATCTTCACCTTGATAACCTAATCTTTCCGATGACTTCCTAGGGCTGGCAATTGTCCGGGAAGCCCGATCTGCCCTAGTTGGCTTGGCACTAAAAAAGTAGGGCTGCTTCTTTTTCTATCCATATTTTTCTTTGGAAAAAGTTTATATGATTTTGCAACGTTAAAATAGAGAATTACAGATGCATCTCAAAAATCCATCGGAAAGAGTTGTTTAAATGTTGAAAAAACCTCTAATTTTAACCATCTTGACATCGAGAAGTATGAATATGATTTTTTTTTATATGTTTTTAGATCTGCTTGATTTTAACCATTTTTAGAGTTTGAAATTTTATAATTAGATATAAAAATAGATTTTGATATAATCTTAGTTATTAAAATAGATTTTGAGATAATCCGAAGAATTTTTTCACTAAAATTATATGATAAAATTTGGTGGTACATCTTAATTAGATTGTTTAAAGTGCAACCTTACAAAAATCACACTTTTTTTCTTTTACGTTATTTTCATGTTTTTTTGGAACGTCCTTGCTCAGCCTACATACCCGGCTTGGGTCGGCCCTACAGGGACAAGGGCTGGCCTAGCCCCTTACCACTCTCACCGATGAGAGTTTTGTCGAGGGAGCAAAGTGTACAGATTGCTCTCGAGCGCACGCTATACGCCACTTTTTCAATCTGACACCCGCGCGCACTGTTAAAACCTCAATTTCATCAGGCAACTGCCCGCCGCATCCGTGTAATAAAAAAATAGTGAGGGTTTCAAGCGTAGGGTTTTAGGGTTTAAGCTCATTTGTGGGGGGCCCTTTTCGTTTGAGTTTACCGCGAGGGTCTGAAACCGAGCAAAAAGACAAAAAAGCAAACAAATGGGAAGGGCCTCTCGCCACTCTCTCTCAATGCCCTAACTGCCCTTTCACAAAGCCTCCCTCGCCACTCTCTCTCTTGATACCCCGCGTCCTCTCTCACAGACCCACAAGCGAGGATCCATTTGCAAGCCTCATACAAGGTATCTCATCTTCTTCAAGCGAGGTTCCATTTGCAAGCTCTCGTCTTCTTCAACTGTTGTTTTTTTTGCTGGTGTTATTTTATTTTTTTTGGCTGGTTTTTGTTTAAACATTCTCCACCAAACAAGGTAGGGTTTCCCTCATACGAACCCTCATGCAAAATACCTCATCTTCTTCAACAAGGCTATGGGTTTTATTCTTGTGATTTTACTGGTTTTTTCCTCTAGATGGTGGTATTTTTTAATTACCAATGCAAATATTTTTTTTCTATGATTTCCAATGAAAATTTGTTGCTTTTTTATTTTTGCCTTATTTTATTGAGTATAGGAGCACAAATTGCTTTGTAGAAAATTGTGGGTATAAGTTATTCTTTCTTGTATTTTTCTGTTTTCTCTTTTTTTATTTCTTTCTGGTTTTTTATGTTATATAGAAGCACAATTTGCGCTCTATAATACCCATGCAAAAGCCTATAGTAGAGAGAGAAAGTCCCTTTTTGGTGAGAGAAAGACCTCGACTCCCATTGTTTCTGCAATTTATGGAACAAAAGCTCATTCCAGGTCTGCCATTTTTTGAAGCTCGAACCTCTGTTTTCTTGGTTAATAGCCTTTGGTCCAAAGCTTACTGGTCAATTTCATGTCCTCTTGGTCATGACTTTTATACCTTAAAACTTTCACTTTTGAAAATTTAGTGCAGTTGATCTTTTTCAGCAATATCAATGAGACCAATGGGATTTTCGAGTAATATTTTTGTGTATTTTCCTATTGGGTGACTGATGAGAAGATCCAGATTCTGCCTGTTTGTTTGCTCCGCAAATTAGTGGCACAAAGAAGAACTTTCAGTCTGATTAATCAAAAGAAAAGTAAAGGGAAACTTTAGGTCCTGTGATCCCTGAGGAATCAAGAGTTCCAATATGTTTAAAATCTTTCATTTGTTTGTTCGATCATGTTTTTCTTTCATAAACGTGGGGTCTAGATTGCGCAAGACTCTAGAGACAATTTTTATGGTTTTGAGATCACTTGGGAATTGAGAAGCAGTGATTTTGATTGCTTTTAGTGCTGATGTAATGATGCTGTGTTGCGCGAATCTCTTATAATTCTTTAGTTTTTGAAGTTTAGGTCTTAATTTTTCATTGGAAGAATCCATAGGTTGATTTAGTTGTGCGATGTGTTAGATTTTTACTGAAATAATTCTTTACAAGCATAATGTATATAACATGATATATTTCATGAATTATATAATTATGGAAATAATTATATACATTACTGAAGTCATACATTATAATATATACAGTAATATATTACTGTATAAATATATTTCATGATGGATAACATTATAATATACATGTTATAATTATACATTATAATTCAGTATAATGTATATATTTCATGTATAGGAAAGGATGCCATACGCAGCTCGCGTAGGAGAAGCTCGCCAACGGCTGAGATAGGTGGAAGCAAATGAGCGGCGGGAATTGAAATAGACGTATTTCCCTCTCTCTGAAACCCTCATTCTCCCCTGGTAGCCCCACCTACGTTTCCCATTTCTTATAGAGCATCTCATCTCTCTACGAAACCCTCTCTCCTCGCAGCCCAACCCGACGAAACCCTTTCATCTCTTTCTACGAAACCCATTCTCACAGCGCATCTCATCTCTCTCTACGAAACCCTCTCTCTCCTCGTAGCCCAATCCCATTTCTCAGAGAGCATCCCATCTCTTTCTACGAAACCCAGCCCAATCCTACCAAACCCATTTCTCACATAGCATCCCATCTCTCTCTACGAAATCCATTCTCACAGACCATCCCATCTCTCTCTACGACTCCTCACAGCCCAACCCAACGAAACCCATTTCTCACATACCATCCCATCTCTCTACGAAACCCATTTCACGTAGCATCCCATCTCTTCTCTCTCTCCTTGCAGCCCAACCCCTTCAGCCATTTCTCATAGAGAAACCATCTCTCTCTCCTCGCAGCCCAACCCTTCTAATCGTGGTAGCCATTCATTTCTCACACAAAATCGCAGAAGAAGCAGCAACGCATAGCCTCTCTTACAATATAAACACCCAAAATCGCAGAAATAGGTATGGGAAGCTCCATTTTTTGTTAGGTTCTTTATTGTTTTTGTTTCTTAGTCAGATGTTCTATTTGTTGTGCTCTCTTTTGATTTTTGAGTTTTTATTGTGATTTTGATTTCATTGGTGTGTTTATTAGGATTATGTATGAGTTTTGTATTTTGGGTGTTATTGGGTTCTTGTATTTCAGCTCTGCAGCTGCTGCTGCTTCTGTTCTCTCTCTACACAATTAAAAGATTGAATGACACTAATACTTGGGTTTCTTCTTTTATGTGGATATCTTCTTCCTTTACATAATGGGTTATGTATAAACAATAATGCATACCTTTATATCCTTTTGGATTTAATTGCATAAGCATCTATAGAATGTATTATGAAATTCTTTACTTATTGTGAATGCATTATGGAATTGTGTCTATCGGATACAATCAAGTGCAATTTATAGATCAAATTGGATGCCTTTTTTATGGAAATGAGTCAAACTTATGTTAATGCATGGAATTATTAAATAGAATCAACATTGCCTTGTCGTATCCTTCTAGTGATGCCCTCTAATTTTCACGTTTGCATGCTTTATTATCCACATGTTGTTGTAAGAAAATTATAATATGTCAAATGTCAGCTGCCTTATTATCCATGTGCCATTGTAAGCGCATTTTGATATGTTAAATGTTGTACACATTACTTTGAGAGTTAAGTTCACATTAATAAGGGTGTCACCCCTGTTGTCTACAATTGCTTCGAATATGGTTGATCCTATAATGGAAGCAATAACATTTGAATAGTTAACAAATGGGCTATCTAGTCGACTAGGAGAGTTGTTGTGTTTATATAAAGGTTTGAATACATATATTTATATAGTTTTTCTACTCGGTCCCTCCTAGAAAATTCCCTCCTAGAAAATTCATAGAAATGCAAGATGGAGAACCTGCCTCCTCAACCAAAGGCCTAGAAACAAATGTATCCCGTGTTGGAATGAAGTTTTCTTCAGAGGAAGATGCAATTGACTACTATAAGGTTTATGCATTGGCCAAAAGTTTTGGTACCCGTAAGGGCACTACCCATAACAAAAAAAGTCAAAGGATTGATAGAGAAATTAATTGCTCTAAAGAAGGATTTCGCAAAGTAGCAAATCAGGTCAGTGGAAATGAATTCCCTGAATCAAGGTGTGGGTGTAAGGCTAAGCTGAGACTGAGTAGATAAGCGAACAACGAGTGGGTTGTGACTGGGTTTATTGATGATCGCAATCATGATCTAGTCAATCCAAGAAAAGCTCGTCTAATTTGCAGCCACCGTACATTGTCTAGTGTCACAAAGTTGATGATAAATTCAATGAGTTCGGCAATGGTTAAGCCAAGACATATCCGTGACATATTTATAAAGCAAGCTGGAGGGACTGAGAATGTCACATGTGCACAAAAGAACATCGAAAATGAAATTGCTAGTGCTAGAAGAAAACTAAGAGGAGAAGATGGTAGTCTAATTGTACAATGACTCTATAAAATGAAAGAATCGAACCCATCTTTTTTCTATAGATTGAAATTAGATGAAGACGATCACATTCTCAACATCGTATGAGTAGAAACCACATGTAAAGTTTCCTATCAATGCTTCTCTGATGCTGTTACATTTGATACCACATTGAAAACAAATTGTTTTAGTATGTCCTTTGCACCCATACTTGATATAAATCACCATTTTAATACAACATTTTTTGGATTTGTACTCATATTTAATGAGGAGGTAGAATCATTTGTTTGGGTATTTGAAAATTGGTTAGAGGCAATGCGTGGACAACATGAATTATATCATGGTTAGAAGTATGACATGATATATATACTGAAATATAATGTTATATCATGAAATATAACATGAATTATCATGAAATATATTTCATGATTATATAATTCATGTATATTTCATGAATATAACATGAATTATCATGAAATAATGGATATAACATTAATTATATTTCATGATTATATCAGAATATATGTAAAGTTCATGATATAATTATATCCATAATTATACTGAAATATATCATGTTATACATGAAATATATATAATGTACACATCATAATGAAAATCATGTATATATTATATTTCAATAATATATAACATGAAATATATTATATTGTAATGTATTTCATGAAATATTTATAACATGTAATGTATATACATGATAACCTCTGGATTATAAATATTTCATGAAATATATAATTACTTCATGTTATAATATATAATAAATATATTTATGTTATAATATATATAATATTATAATATATAATATATATATTAATGTTATAATATATATAATATTATAATATATAATATTAATTTACTGAAATATTATAATACTATGAAATTTTTATTTGTTCATCGACATGAAAAATTGAAGCAATGAAAGTAAATTTCCATGTCCTCATTTTATGGTTTTTTACCTTTTCTGAATTGTTGCTGCTTTTTAAAGTTGTTGGAATCTAGCTGTATGGTTTTCTTCGTAGAGCATCAGTGGTTTCTTGTATGTGTATTACATTCTTTCGAAAACTATGCTTTAAAAGGAATGAGATTTTATGAAATTGTCAGAGGTTGACTCAGAGAATAAATGGTATACTTTCATGGCTGCAATATCCATGTGTATGAATAATTTAGGTACTCTGTCAAGAGCAACTTTCCTTTGTAGTAGTAAGCCAATGGTGTCATTGTGTTTCTATGTAGTTTTTACCTATCTCATTGGGGGCAATTAAGATCTTTATCATAGAATATAAAGTAACATGAAAAAGAAATATATTTTTGAACAAAAAAGCATGAAAGAGAAATTTAGTGAGATTTACCTTGATAACAATGATATCCTTTTCTTTGTCTAGCTATATCCCTAATGCAATATTGTATATCCTTAGAAGCCAATTTTCCTCATATAGTCAAATGTTTGGAGGAAGAAACACAAAGAAGAGTTACATCACTGAAGAATTGCATGTGTACTATGAGTTTCCTTGGAACCTTCATTGTTGTGTGTGGGAATTCTACCAAACAGGAGAATCTCTATTCTAGGGTTTAGCTGTGATTTGATAATTCTCTATTAGGAGTCATATATGTTCATTTGCAGTATTTGGTCCTTCAATGGGATTACAATTTTAGGGGTCGCTTCTATTTGAATTAGGTGATTATAAATGCCCAGAGATATTGAACCTTTTCTATTTCAAGTCCAATGTTCTCCTATGAAACCCATCGATAATGTTGTGTGAGGACCTTCTGATAAGTGGATTGGATTATATGATGAGCAGAAATCGTGAATTTTTGAAGGCAAATACTTTCCTTCGATTCTTTTAATCAGTACTGTTGTCAAATTTGAGACATTTTATTAAATATTTCAAATTTGCTAGACACCATTTGTTATTTGATGATATATGTGGAAAAGTGTATTTGAAAAGGCATGCTGAACTTATTTGTACTTGTACCTCTGTTATGCTTTTCGAGATTGGATATGGACATCATGTGTTAAAAGATGTATTCATTCATTGGAACAGAAAAACCATTGCTATATTTATTAGTACAAATATTTTTTCATTATTCTTACAAGATAAAGAGATTAAACAAAAAAAAATGCATGGATTAGTTAACCAAGGCTTGATGCTTGTATAATTTAATAAAGCGATCCAAACTTATGCTCTAAACCATCCATTTTTTTTAAACATAATATAGATTGAATGTTTTAAAAAAATCATCTTATTTGGATGGATGTCGATATCAAATCATTTATATTGCAATAGAACGGTTAAAAGTAGGTAGTAATCCAGATTCTAGGAAGTAGTTTACCAATGGGTTACCAAACATAAGAAACTGGATACACAAGAATTTTGATTGTGAACCAAACATGGGAAAAAACAGGATTGGAAAATTCTTGCACAAGGAACTGTTTACCTATGAAAACTGTTTTACATATGCAAAATGTTACTTATGAACCAAACGATCCCTTAGGGTTTAAGCATCTATTATTTATCGTCCTTTCTCTCACTTTCTGCAATTTCACTCATGGCTCCTAAAGGACAACCAATTAAGATGAAGAAAACTTCACCGATGACTCGCAAAGCGAGGCCTTTGGAGAAGAAGGAGAAGAAGAAAGCGTCTTTAAAGAGGAAAGTTGAAGAAGTAGGTCATGCAAAGCCGTATTCCATTTTCTCCCAAGAAGACGTTCCCGACTTCCCACGAGGTACTTCTTCTGTGTTTTTGTCCTCATAAACCATGGCCTTTCCGTGTTTATAAGAGGTTTGGATAAATCTTTAATGACTCCTTCTCAAGTGACTGTTTTTTATGGTTTTGGCTAATTCTCTGTAATGATCGTTGTTGCTTTGTTGCTTCCTTGATTGAAGGAGGTGCGAGTGTACTGAGTAGGTCTGAGCTTGAAGAAGCTCGAGCCTCAGCTGATGCTCAGTTTGAAGTAGAGGCTAGGGTTTCAAAGAAGGCAAAGCGCCCGAGGAAGCCATTTACATCAGAAGAAGACCTTGGCTCTCTCTTTGGAGATGGAAGCTCTAGCACATTGCCTAGATTTGCTAACAGGATCACTCCTAAGGTAACTGATGCATGTTAATGAAATTGTCTGAGTTGTAACTGTAGAAATGATGAGAGATCAAGTTTATGCGCTTATCAATCTTGTGTGCCTCTTTATGAGGATAAAGTTATGGATTCTGTTAAATATAGTTTCCTTTTTGTTTTAAAACCTAACTTGCAAATTTTGCTGCAACTGTTCTTTTGTCTCCAAACTGATGGTTTGTTGTTAATTTAATGAGAGAAAAAAAGATCTTGATGCAGCCAATTTAAATATAACATTGTAAGGGGTCTGGTAAGGATGGAGGTGCGTATTATTTTCTGAGAGTGAGCTCTTATTATGGATGAATTCTATGACTGGCAACAGCTGGCTTGTGCAATGCGTGTCGATGTGTATACATGCTTATAAACACAAACGTGCATTGCATTTAGTGCCTGTTTTAGGAAGAGGGATTTGATTTTTTTCAAAAGCACTTTATTTTGAAGGAAGAGAAATAATGAATAATTATACATATGTCTTAAACAATAACATAGTTTAAAAATGCATTTCAGGGAGGAATGTGTCAGATATGTGTAAGATGGGGAGGTTACCGGGAATATAAAAGAGAGAGAGAGAGAGAGAGAGAGAGAGAGAGAGAGAGAGAGAGAGAGAGAGAGAGAGAGAGAGAGAGAGAGAGAGTAGAGTAGAGTAGTAGTAGTAGTAGTAGTAGTAGTAGTAGTAGTAGTAGTAGTAGTAGTAGTAGTAGTAGTAGTAGTAGTAGTAGTAGTAGTAGT